GCCCCGCTCGCTGGCCCTGACCTTACCCTCTGCCCCACGCAACGCAAGGGAGGCCGCCCGCTGCGTGGACCAGGAAAAGGAAGGCGCAGGACGAGGGGTGCGACGCCTTTTCTTCCCGACCCCCTGCCCCGCGTGGGTCTCCCGCACAGTTCTGAAGGCTGGAGAGCCCGGGACAGAGGGCTGGAGAGGGGCCCCCCGGGTGGAGGGGAGGGGAAGCTGAGCCGGCGGAGAGGGGAGGGCCAAGGATGTGCCCTTACCCTTTCCCCTGCCTCCTGATTTGCTAATTTTTACATATCCCAGCCTCTTCTTTCCACTAAGGAAAAGTTTTCCCTCATTTCCAAGGCTACTGAATACTTCTGAGCTTCGGACCCCTGTTCCCCTTCCACCGGGCCCCTGTGTCTTTCATGTCCCTGCCTTACCGCCTCTCTTGAAGCGACAGCGCGCCCGGCTCTCCCACTCTGAACAGCAACAGGAGGACCGTCCTCCTGTCCGGCCCTCATGCTTCCTCCCAGACTCTTTCCACCCATCACCAAACTTGCTGCAACAAGCGTTTGTCTCACCTCCTGCCTCCTCGGCTGCAGTCTGCCTTCCAATCCCAGGAAACCGTTATCATCAACTTCCCAACTCCCGAATGCCTTGAGGGGGTTTTTTGGCACTAAAGTTAATTTTGTGCAGGATGCAAACTATTAACAAGCCCTTCCTTCATGAGGTTGGTATAGGATAGCCAGGAGCTAGAAAAATTCCAAGGCAGGAGGAACAGGGAAACCGAGACAAGAAAATTAAACCAGGCCAAGCAGTTAGGACAGCCTACAGCCAGCCTGTAAGTAACGAGCCCTTATCTTCCCCAAACCAAGGACACCTGAGAGCAAATGGTTAAAAGCGCCCCTTAAGCAGGGAATGCAAGGAAGGTGGGAGGAAGGGGCTAGGAGGAAAGGGAAGTTTTATTTATTCTTTTACTCCCTAAACAGAAAAGCCAGCAGTTCCAAGGCTTCGCAAGACAAAATTACCAGGTGCCTCTCATGAATTATGGAAAGGCCACAACAAATTTAAAAAGGGACTTTGAGAATTAATCTGTACCAAGATACAAAGCAGAAGAATTTTAAAACATAGACAGAGGGTATATAACTCCTCAAACCCGCGCCAGGCCCTCGCTTTTCCAGGTTAGCTGGGAAAGCCCATCTGCACCCTGGGCATATGAAATGGAGTGGATTCGCTTGCCTTCTTTAATCAATTTGCTTGCTTTAATTCCTTTAATAAATTGCCTTTATCACAATGCAAGCGGGATCACTTGTTTGAACTTGTTCCTGTGAGACTGACAAGAACCAAGGTGGGGGCGGCCCTCTCCTACTCCCTGTCTGTGACAGTTGCCTGTGACAGAGTGATCTTCCTTTGACCTTGGGACTGGACTCTCCCCCATTCTTCTCTGTACTCTCTGGCTGCTTCATTTCAGTCTCCCCTCTCTCCCATTTCTAAAAACGCTTTAGAAATGGCTACTTCTCAGTGCCCTGACCGCCCTCCTTTTTAAATTAAATTTTAAATATTTAGGTAATTGTAGATTCACACATGCAGTTACAAGAAATAATAACATCTTGTAAAACTGAGCCATATCACTGTTAGGTCTCAGGGTCTGGGAAGCTCTAAATGCTATTCTTCCTAAGGTTAAAATGTAGCACAATATTTTGCAAATGCAGCTGTAAACAGGGTGAGCCTGACAAGAACCCAGCCTGATAAGTGTAGCCAACTGCAAAGAAAAAGCATATAATTAACCAAATAGTGTATATAAGCAATGGCTGAGCCTCCCTTCAGGAAGACAGAGCTTTGCCTTTTTAAAAATTTTTTCAATTACATTCAATACATTCAATTTTATTTTGTATTAGCTTCAGGTGTACAACATAGTGGTTAGACAATCATATACTTCACAAAGTGGTCCCTCAGAGATTTCAAGAACCCACCTGACAACACACGTAGTTATTACAATACTATTGACTAAGTTCCCTATGCGTTACTTTACACCTTGGTGACTTTTCCATCAACTTAGACTTCTTAATTCCTCCCCCCCCTTTTTTTTACATTTTACCTTCTTTATTTTTACTTTACATATTTAACTTTATTTTTGTATTACAGGTGTAATACAAAAACTATTACAGATGTCCCCATTTCCCCCCTCCTTTGCTCATCTCTACCCAGCCCCCAAGCCCGTGACCTTTTCACACAGCCCCCCAACACCCCTCCCTTCTGACAACCATTGGTCTGATCTCTCTATCTGTGAGTCTTTTTCTATTTTGTTTGTTTATTTTGCTCTTTAAGTTCCACATATAAGTGAAATCATATGGTATTGGTCTTTTTCTGACTGACTTATTTCACTTAGCATAATATTCTCTAGGTCCATCCACATTGTTGGCAAATGGTAACTTTTCATTGTTTTTTAATGACTGAGTGATATTCCATTGTATATATGAACCACTGCTTTTTAAAAAAATTGGTTTTAAAGAGAGAGGAAAGGAGAGGGATAGCAAGAGAGAAACATCAATGAGAGAGAAACATCGATTGGCTACCTCCTGCGTGCCCCACTGGGGATCTAGCTGCAGCCTGGGCATGTGCCCTGACCAGGAATCAAACTGGTGACCTGCTGGTGCACGGGAGGACACGCAGCCACTCAACAATACCGGCTGGGCTGTACCACTGCTTTTTTATCCACTCATCTATTGATGGGCATTTGGGTTGCTTCCATACCTTGGCTATTGTAAACAATGCTGCAATGAACATAGGAGTGCGTATATTCTTTTGAATTAGTGTTTTGTGTTTCTTCAGATATATTCCTAGAAGTGCAATCGCTGGATCAAAAGGCAGCTCCATTTTTAATCTTTTGAGGACCCTCCACACTTTTCTGTAGTGGCTGCCCCAGTCCGCATTCCCACCAGCAGAGCGCTAGGTTCCCCTTTCCCCACACCCTCGCCAGCACGTGCCATTCATTGACGTGTTGATGGAGCCATTCTGACAGGCGTGAAGTGATACCTCATTGTGGTTTTAATTTGCGTCTCTCTGATGATTAGTGATGTTGAGCATCTTTTCACATGCCCAGTCTATCTGTATGTCCTCTTTGGAGAAGTGTCTATTCAGGGCCTCCGCCCATTTTTTAAATTGGATTGTTTGTTTTTTTGGTGTTTAGTATGAGTTCTTTATAAATTTTGGATATTAACCCGTTATGTACCATTGGCGAATATCTTGGGGAACAGAGCTTTGGATGGAAATCTTCTGTCTCCTTTAGTTGCTGCAAGTAAATTAAACTACCCAACAACAACCACGTCTTGTTCTTGAACAGAGCACCCTAAGTGGCAAACCCCATGAGTTTAGTAAGATCACTGCCAGGATATTGATGTTAAGTCAAAACACATAATTCCATCATCACTAGGATCCCTCATGTTGCCCTTTTATAGCTACACCCACTTTCCTTCCAACCCCTCCCCCAAATCTAACAAACACTAATCTTCTTTCCATTTCTATAGCTTTGTAATTTCAAGAATGGTAAATAAAACCTTACAGTACAGTAAGGCTCTGGAGAATCATTCCGGTTGTCGAGATACTCAATGGTCCATTCCTTTTGATTGCTGTGTAGTAATCTGTGGTATGAATTTACCACAGTTTGAACCTTCCCCTGAAAAAGGCGATTTGGGTTTGTCAACCATTCAACACCAACAGGAATCCCCAGTTTGGGGTGTGGTGAAGAAGGAAACTGTACTCAGTGCAAAACAGCTCAATTGTAATTCAGCATGGCAGTGAGGCAGCCCTGGGGCCAGGCAGCCTGGGGCCAGAGCCTTGTCCAACTAGATTGCTCTGCTCTGCTCCAGGGAGACACCCTCTGTGGATCCTGGATCTGCTTCAGCCAGGGAACCACAGTTCTCAGCCTTCCCTGGAAAGGGAAATTGCACTTTCTGAGCCACCGCGGAGCTGGCTGAGATGAGCGGAAGTCCCCACCCCTGTTCGCTGATTTGTCCATCCTCATGCAAATGAAGGCTCCAAATCCTCCCAGTTTGATTGGTCCAGAAAGCACTATCCTGATTGGTCGGAATAGAACCACTCTGATTGGCCAGAGCTGCACAGCTCTGATTGAATGGGGAAAGCTTCGGTCCTGCTGGTTGAGCTGGGATTCCAGGAGCTCCCCTGTAAGGTCTGGCAGGGGTGCCAAGTAGAGTGCGGTGGCTCTTCAGTGCAGAGGCGTCTGCCTCAAGTGCAGTTTGTGTGAAAGACCCTTGTGCAGAAATGGCTGCTGGGCTGTATTTTTTAAAATTGGAGCCTTCTTACCCCCCAGGAGCACTTCTTAGTAGGTACCTTTTTTTTTTTT